CAAGTCAGGAGCCTGTAGTTTAGTGGTTGTCGTTGGTTCAAGTCTCGAATAAGTATATATATTATAGTATAAATTTTTTACTAAAAGAGTTATTTCCCCTTAAATGGCTTGGTTTAAAAAAAAAATGATGCAAAAACACAAATGGTAATGAAACACCGACAATAATTAGGATAAACAAAAACAAAATATGAGTTGTACAAAGACACTAATATGGTCAAGATTCAGAGAAAGTTTCAACTAATTTTGACGAGTGGTTTAGGAGGAGTTGCGAATAAGAGATGGGTACCCTATGTTATGGGATGGCTAAGTCCATTTTTACTTATTGGAAACCCTAAAAGTGATTCAGATCCAAATCTAAAATCGGAGGTTTGCATTTGGCATTATGCTATAAAGAATCTGTAAAAGGTTTATAAAATTTCATTTAGTGGTTAGGAGGAGTTTCTGATAAGAGATTGTTACCCTTTGCTAAGGGATGAAGTCCATGTTTTGCTATTATAGGAAATCCCAAAAATAATTCCGATCAAAATCTAAAATAGGAGGTGCGCACTGGAATTATGTAATAAAGAATCTGTGAAAGTTTCATCTAATTTCATTTAGCGCTTTAGGAGGAGTTGCCGATAAAGGATGGCTAAAAAGTCCCATGTTTTACTGAAGGAATACTCAAAATTCATTTAGATCAAAATCATTTAAATAAGAGGTTCACAAAGTTATAAAGAATTTGTGAAAGTTTCATGAAGTTTTGTTCAGTGGTTTAGGTTGATCTTGCAGTTGCGGATAAGAGATTGGTACCCTTTGTTAAGGGATGGCAAAGTCCACGTTTTGCTTTGGCAAATATAAAAAATATAAATTTCAATCAATATATGAAGGCAGTTGCTATTTGTCCGGCTAGCAGTACCAGGACTATTTGTCCGGCCAGTTCAATGCGCATGTCTGTGAGTGTGAAATATTATCTTCTGCAGCACCAGGGTGTGGCAAATTATATATATGGACATCTATAAAGCAATGTTTTGCAATCTTAAATTGTTAGGCCCCAATTTTGTTACTGGTAATTGAAATGGTTGTTTTCTTCAAATAAAGTCCAATGTGGTCAATGTATATTAGAAAAAAATCATATATATTCAATGTTATATCTATATCTATTGCTTCACATTGCAAAAAGAGGGAGGAAATTACTTGTAACCCAAACTTGTGTCGTGATTGGCTCATGCATTTTGGATTAAGTTAACGTAAGGATTTTCTTGTTGAAAAAGGTACAAAATTATCATGTCTGAGACTGTCAAACAGTTCGAGTTATAGATCCCCTAAACATAAAGTTGTCCATATTTTGAGTTAGGGGTGATGAGAGGGTTGGGGTAACACGTGGCGTTCCTTCAGTTTCCAAATCCCTCTTTTCTTTTTACCCAGATCCCACCTTTATTGTCCACTATATTTCATATCCCTACTTTTTATAATCCTATATCCCACATCCCCCACTTTTTTTTAAGTTATACTATCGTATTCCCTTGTCAAATTCTGAAATTCTACAAATGTATGTATTTCGACTACTGATGAGTCGAAATTGGATTAGTCGAAATTTCGGTTGACTCGAACTAAATTTACGGTCCCAAGGTTAACAAAAGCATTCAAAATTCATTATTTACCTCAAAGTAATACACATATGTCAAAACATGACCTCGGGGATATGACAATACACGTGTAATTACATTTCCGGTCCCTGACCACTGTATTGATTAATGACATTCTCTCTGCACGAGTGTTTACCTAAGATTATCTTTGATCACAATGATAAATAATAATTAGTGATATATTGTTACAGTTCATAAAAATGATTTAAAATGTTTTTTAAAACAGTTAACTGTAATCATACACTAATGAGCTTGGTTGTGTATAAAGAAGGGATACAAGTTCTGTTGGTGATTAACTAAAAACTACTCAATCAGCGTTTTTAATCTTTTTGTATTTTCTCTTGCAAAAAAAGATTGAAATAAAGAAAAAGAAATTACACCCCAGTTCTATTGTTATACTTCATAGTTTCTATTTCTGAAACAAGTGTAAATTGAATAGATCTATTGTTACGAATAACAATGGATTTTGACCACAGGGTGTGACGAGCGGGGTTTCTGGAAACCCCTGCTTCTACATCCCGAAAACAAAGTCCATTGTTATTCATTACAATAGAAATCGATTATTTTTTAAATAGCATGAACATAAGAAATTACTAATAGTGTTCACTACAAGTTGTTTCAAGATATTAAAAAAACACAGTTTAGGAAATTCCAATAGCGAAAAAAATATTAAGCATCTATTTGGAATAAAAAAATCCTTCAAGGGAAAAGTAATTTGATTGATAGCGTTGAAAAACTATATAAAATTGTTCGCGATTTGCGAGAAAAAAAATTCTGACTCCGACAAAAAACCTTACCCCCCAACCCCTTTGAAGTTAAAATGGTTGCTCCCTAAATACTCCTTTTCCTTTGCTTGAAGGTAAAATTTTTGATCCCAGTCATATGTCTCTATTCTAAAGCATTGATCTTAAAAAAAAACAGGGATTCTAATTCCCGGACCCCCACCCCCCCCCCCCCTTTGATCCCGCTCGTCGGGTTTCTAATCCAGACACATCTATCTCTCAGTGTGTCCGAATATGAATGTTTGTTTACTCTCGATAAGGGGGGGGGGCTTCTTTTTTTTTTAATATAAAACCGTAACATAAAAAATAGATTTATGATTACCTTCATTAAACTGATACAGGTAAGTACTTTGGGTTATAATATTGCCTTTATCTTTAGTCTCGTCTACCGCATCCAACGCTTGACTCAAAATGTCGTCCGTCTTATACCCGTCCATATTGACAACTGCATACAAGGAGCATGATGTATTTTTTTGTGATAAGAGTGCACGAAACGGTCAACCTTGAACTTCTGATCCATATTAGCACAAGGATTTAACGGGAATATGCAAAACAGCAACTTTGACATTTGTAAAATCTACTCACTTGCCAAAGTTTGAAGGACATAGCCAAAGTAAGGTTACTAGTGGGGTTTCATGTAAAAAAAATATTTTTCTTACAATTCATGGTTCGATTTTGTCAATAAATATATGCTATCCATTCTTTTTTTATTTAATTATCAATGTTAACAAATATAGGGTTTAGCATTGGGTGTAAGTTAGTTATACACCTCGGGATACGGCGTGTCTGGATAAGAAACCCCTCCGGCCTCCGGCCGTCGGGGTTTCTTATCCAGACACACCTATCCCTCGGTGTATAACTATTACAGAAATCTTAATTTCTAAAATCTTTCTTTTGATATACGAGAATGAACAATTTGGTCAACTTTAAATAACGGTAAGATCGATTGAAAATTACTCTCTCGGATAAAAAAATTGGAAAAAATTATAACTGTACAATAAAATCAATAAAAAATTTTTAAAAAATGTTATTCTAATAATAAAAGACAACAACATACATTTACATCTATCTGAAACCAGGATATCGATCCCCTACCCATATACATTCGGATTTATTTTAGCATTACCAAGCTAAACAAGAGTTGAGTCCCTTGGTCTGTCAAACTTCCGGTTTTCGTTTGTGTCGAAATACGGGTATCTCGAAATATTTTTCTGGTCCGGCTGACTTCGAGATAACAAGAGTCGACTGTCTTTAAAAAAAACCACAGCCATTGAACCATTCAAAAATAAGGTCAAGGACAATGGACATGTGACAGACATAAACTTTGTAACTTAAGGTATCTGCATACAAGATACGAAGCATCCAAGTCTTCTAGCTCCTGACATATAAAGCTTTACACAAATAGTTTACACCATCGCCACTGCCGGTTTGTAATACCTATGTTCTCAAATTCTGCGACTTTGTCACAGATGGGACAAAAACCAGTCAGTGTCTTCTTAACAAGTGAAACTGCGAGCTACTGCTCACTGATGATACCCCCGCCCAAATATTTCGGTAAATATGAAGTTGTTGAGTGATGAATCTGAAAACGCATCACACGGTATAGCTGACTTATATAAACCCTGAAACCAAATTTCAGAAATCCTTGTATTGTAGTTCCTGAGAAAAATGTGACGAAAATTTTCAACTTGGCTATCATGTGTAAAATGATACAAGTGTTCGGTAAACGGGAAGTTGTTGAGTGATGAATCTGAAAACGCATCACACGGTATAGCTGGCTTATATAAACCCTGAAACCAAATTTCAGAAATCCTTTTATTGTAGTTCCTGAGAAAGATGCGACGAAAAATATTCATGGGACGGAAGGACGAACTGACGGATGGACCGACGGACTGACGGATGGACAGACAGAGGTGAAACAGTATACCCCCACTTTTTGAAAGAGGGGGTATAAAAAGCAACAACTTCATTAACATGCGACTTTATGACAGCGTTCTGATCTATTAATAAATGTTGAAGTTGGTCATTTCTCTAATATACCATGTGAACCGCATTGATTTGAATGTTGTAACATGCGATGACTTGTGTTGTGAACGAATTCCATTTGATATATTTTTGGCTGAAAACTTTTGAATTAGCAAAGCCATGTCTAAATCGCTTACAATTAAACTTTTAACTATTTAAAAAAATGCATTGAAAACTAGATCTGATATCATTAGCTATAGTTATATTATCATTGATCTCTTCTAATAGCCTTTTTGTCACATAGTGTATATAGTATTTTTGGCCGCAGCATGTCCTGTATGCTATTATAAATACATATTTATTCATTCATTGAAATCTGCATCACCTTCAGCTTGTAAAACATTGATTCAACGGAAACTGTTGGAATCATTTTATAGGAAAGTTTCTTTTTACACTAACTTATCTAGCTTTTGATACATTTACTATTTTCCAATATCTTGCCGGTATGTGTCTTATGTGAATCAAGTTTATACAAGTATATAAATACATCCCTTATAGACATTATTCTTTGAAAGGTTTATACATATGGGACATACGGGTGTAAAATTTCCTTTGAAAGAAATCCACATAAGGCTCATAAATTTATTTCGCATCATATAAAATAAACATTTGAAAAAACACAAAACAGTTCATCAAATCTAGAAATAACTTCATTATTGTGGTCATCAAAATCAGGAGATTAAGGTAGATTATACCAAGCAATCTGAGCTCCTTTTCCGGACATCTTCCAAAGTCTTATTGAAATATATATTCTAAATAGGCAAATAGTAAATAACAAAATGTAAACAGTTTTTTTACATTATTTAAAAAGAAATATTAACAACAATGCATAAAGAGAACAATCACATTATTTCATTCTAAACAAGATTTTCAAGAGTATTACAAATACAGTAAATTCCTCTCAATTGCATAGCCTATTTGTCAGAGAAAATGATGACAAAAACAGGTACTTGGGTTTCAATGTAAAATCATAGGAAAGAGAAACTATTGTTGTACCCAAACATTTATTACAAAAACTGAAGGACTTCACTAACAACATATTGTTGTTTTAACCATTCAGGTACATTTTTGAGTTAAATTTTGGTTTTTTGCTATGCAGGTAAAGAATAAAATTGGTTTATGTTGATAAGGAAATTGATTTGTGTTTTGAATTCCTATGTGATTAACAGGAATAGGAATCCTCTGTACATGCAATAGTACATTATCCCATACTGGAAAAAAACAGTCAGAATTCTAAAACAAATTACACAATTTTACTGAAATACAAACCAAGTATCCAGTCAACATCTTAAAAAATTACAGACATTTAAAAATTTCATGACATACCACTAAGTGCATGGGTCATATCCCTCCTTTGCCAGTAATCTACAACTCCGAAACAAATACATCCGCTTTGCCAGTAGCCTTTAAAAATACAATGTTATTTGTATACAGCAGTATATTAAATGGCATTCATTGTGAATGCTTCATCACTGGTCACAATACTTGTCAGTTCACTACGAAACTCTTATTAGGATACATATGCAACAAGCAAATCTATCAGATTACCACAAGTGTGGGCACGAGGACATCTGTTGAGTCCAAAGGAATTACTAAATGTCATGTTTATACCCTCTGTTGGCATAAGTGGTGATCCTGTTACAAAGCATATAAATTGCTCCAACACTTCAAAGGATATTTCTCTAATTAAATTTTGGAGGTAACAAAACACAGCCTCTTCATCAGCTCTTAGAACTTCATCTGTTTTCAAACAGCCCAAATTTTTTTCTCTACTAGGCAGCAGTGAGGCAAAAAAGTGGGATATAAATTGAGTTCAATTTGAAAAAAAAAATGTCAACAAAGAAATCAGAAAAACCTTTTTTCGGGAACTTGCACAAATGGTTTGGCTTGTCTAGAAGTTCACTGTTAGCCATATCAAGAATTTGATTTTTCAAATTTCAACAGAAGGATATAACTGCATTCCATACGTTTAAAACAATTGCAATCATACCTTTATCCCTCTCTGACCAATGAGAAGAGCTCAGAAGGCGCTTCACCAGAGTCCTCTCAGGAAAAGAAAAACGGAGCAAAAAATCCCGAAGAAGCAACTTCTGGTCAATAATTTCTTGATCAGAAATAGTGTATAACAGTAAACTTCGAAACAAGTTTGGTGGTAAAATACCACACACACCTATCATGTGACACAACACCCTTCCAAATATCTCTGCAGCTTCTCTTCTTCTGTGGATAGGAAGAGAGGAAACAACGCTATCTTCAGTCTCCTCGGAAAAACCCCTGACATGCTTTCTTCCAAAATGAGGAAAACAAGTCTCTTGTAAGTCAACCTAAATCTTCTCCAATTTCTCCTTCAAATATTACTTTAATTTTAAAATTAAGGATGGTTGAATCTTGGTAGAATTGTAATACATCTTTAATAATATTATTCCGCCTTATTTTCAGTTCTTTCTCTGGTACTTCATGATAAGTGTTTTTAATGGTATGTGCCTTACTTTTAATAGTCGTCTGGCATATAAAAGAACTTAGAAAAACCTCAGATCAATGATACATGGTCCATCGTAACCGTTGCTTTCTCAACGTATGTAAAATGTACACAAGTCATGACTATGTGTTTTTTTTTATTGTACAGAACAGAATTAAGTATTTCCGACCCAAGGTAATACCGTCCCAGATAATGCCGCCATTCGGATGAACCCTGTGCCGATGAACACAAGTTTTTTTTAATTTGTATACGTTTCAAAAACTGCTCCAGTTGAAAAATGTTTTTAATGCGACACCCTTCATATATTTCTTATAATACCGTTAAGGGGACGAATCAACTTCGTGAACGTACTTGATCAATTACGTCATCAACATGTGATTAGAGTCGGTCCGGGTAATTCCGTACAATTTTGGTCCTAAATGAATGTCATTTGGTTCCCTGTTTGATACTACAATGTTCTAGAAGGAAACCGGTAACTAGATCATTCGTAGATAGTATTAATGTTTGACTTTTTCCTTGCCATTCAACATAAAATATCGAGAATGAGCATATCGAACAGAAAAGTCACTGTTTCGTATATCGTACGGATGTCGTGTATTTCCGTACACCTTGATGTGTAATTCCGTATATTGATTAAATTCAAAATATGATTGCTAATTGGAAATGATTTGGACTAGTTAATTTATTACCAGGATCATCTTCAAGTCTTTCAATCTTCACTTAAATTCACAGTATCACAGCTCCATGTCGTGATGTAGATACTGGCAGTATATTTGATAACGGAATACAACATTATAAACAGTCAAAGATAACTCAGTTAACTGCACTTTTGATTATATATTGGCAAATTGAGTATATATGCAAAAATTACAAAAGAAGGACCAAAAAGCAAGTGTCCCAAGATTTTTGTTTGAATTAAAGCTTCAATAAATTATTAGTATAAATTTAGATGTGATAATGACGGACTTGTGTTTCAGACAGTAACGTTACACACACACACGCAGTAACGTTTAGATGCAAATAATACATGGACATCAGGGCGAGAACATGACGGTTTATGTGATATGCATGACTTTTAAGTTCATTGATAAGTGATATGAATATAGACCCTGTCTATAATACACTCATCCGGTTTTTAACGTTCTAGTTCAGTCCGAAGAAAGATGTCAACCTATTCAGAAAAGAATTTTAACTCTAAGCCAACCGGTCTTTACAATCAAGTCCCGCAATGTAAGCTGAGAGGCTGCAGCAGATTTTACTAATTTTAAGTCCTGAATTAAAGCATCATCTTCAATTGTCCCAGCAGCATTTCATGGAACATTTTCTTAATAACGTATACATGTATATTTAACATCTTGCATAGCTGTTTGTCAACTTTTTGTGGTATAGTTTTATTGTTGGGGAGGAAAACTGACAATCCTAGTCAACTAATATTCGAACACACCTGCCATGCATGTGTGGGGTTTGAAGTCACAACCTTAGTGTTGACTGGCTAGCGATATATAAGATGAACTACTTAGACCACTGGGGCACAGAGGACCCTCGCATTTAAGGAGGAATAGTTTGCAAACACAACAACGTCTATCTCTATTAATCAAATGGCAGCGGACTGGTGGTTCTTAGAATAGAAAAACATATTTTGACCTCTTTCTTCCCATATCGAATTGATGTTGTTTTATGTAATTTTTTTTTCTGTTGGTTTTATTTTGCAATTAATTTGATTATGTAACAAAAATCAATAATTAATATAAGCAAAGCTAAGTCAACATTGAAAATCTCTTTATCAATTAATGTATAACATATTTTAAGCTGGCGTGCACGATATTAGACTCCTTATATTTGCATGTAAAATACCCCTGTAGAGTAATACCGTACACATCCACTCCCAGTCCGTTTTATTGGAAATGATTGCACTTATACTACATCGAAAAGTATCTGTCAATTGCAAACTATTTCTGACATTCAGTTTCCATCAGTTTTCTTAATTTTGATTAAAGTAGAACGATCTTACATTAAATTAACCAAACTTAGAATTTTCACAAATCTGGTGACTTTTTGGACGAGATCTTCTTTTCAAAACGCCCGCGAACAAAACTTTCCGACAAATGGCAAATGTGTACATATTCTATGATCATAGAAATGATGATAGAAAATCGTAAAAACATTAACATACAAGGTTGTACTTATCTTATTATCAGTAGATAATATTAAAACACACTTTATTTCTCAAGTTTATCAGACAAACAAGCGAAATGCAATATGTACGATAATTACCCGCCTGTACGAAATTACCCGGATCGACTCTACGCTGCTGGAGTATCAAAATGGAAAATCCGATATGAAGATGTTTTCAGATAAGTATTTGATTTAACATATAATGATTATAAATATAATTTGTTGAGGCACTATGAAATTTTTATGGTTTTAATTTAAGCAAATCAACATCAGAAAGTTTGACAGCAAAAACTGAAAATAGATATTTATTATAATGAATAATTGGTGTCACATTCTTAACAGGTATAACTGGTAGATATTAAATTAAATTGAATTGTGTGAATGAACTTGATGAAAATCATACGTCGCCAGTTTTATCTTCAAGGGATAACAAAAAAAGGGGGGGGGGGGGGTAATTAATTTGATTCCAAATGGCTTCTAATGTATAATATATTTATGCAATTATGTTTCTAATAAATTTATTGCTTCATAACGTCTTGAACAATTGATTCTTTGTGGATACTTTTGTACTTTTAGGGGATTAAATTATCAAATATTAGCTGCTAAAAATGATATGAAACAGATTTCATGCAGACTCCAGTTACCTTTAGTCAGCAATTCTAGTTGGAAGTACGGAGACAGCAGGTTTTAAATTACAGTTACAGAAGTTTATATCCGACACATAATTTTAATACAAGTATTCAGTTTGTGGGTGAGGTATAAGCTGACCACAGTCACTGTTTGTTTTATACTATACAAACCATGCATTAAATTATTATTTTGTTTGAGTCAATCCAACATTTTTATTTTATTTACCTTGTGTCAATGGGAGGAAATTTGGGTTTTTAACACTGCTTGTCCAAAAATGGTTTCATTTACCGTTCATGAATATTCATGGTTTCTGCTGATGAATATTCATGCTTATTCATGTTTTTTCATCATCATCATCTAAATTCATGTTAATTAATGTTCATTTCAGGTTGCATTTACAATTCATGGATTCTTCATGATTTCTGCTGATGAATATACATGAATATTATATTCATGTTTTTTTCATCACCATCCAAATTCATGTTAATTCATGTTTATTCCAGGTGGCATTTACCATTCATGGATTATTTATGGTTATATTCCAGGTGGCATTTACCATTCATGGATTATTCATGGTTATATTCCAGGTGGCATTTACCATTCATGGATTATTCATGGTTTCTGCTGATGTATATACATGAATTATATTCATGCTTATTCATGTTTTTCCATCACCATTAAAATTCATGTTTATTCCAGGTGCCATATATCATTCATATCAATTCATGGTACTGCTGATGAATATTCATGAATATTCATGAATAATTCGAGAATAATGATAAATAATTCATGATCAGGAAAGCAGGGAATAAAAATAAGTCACAGATATAAGATTTATTTTGTTTGTGTTTAGATCACCTGTGAGCTAAAAACATACATTTTTACAATTTTACAATAAGGCCACACAAACTTTATTTTTTGTTTTTTTGATTTTTGAAAGGTTCGTGCTACTTTTTAATTAATTCTTTTTTTAAGTCAAAAGATTCTTAATTTTTTTTAAGTCAAAGGATTCTTAAATTTGATGAGGGATTCACATTTTTAAAAGTATTTTTTCTTTAAAAGTTGTGTAAGTTTTTCACTGTTCTTTCATTTTCATTTTTTAAAATAATTTCCATTCCAAACTAGTATGGACAATTAAAAAATAAACTATTAATCAAAATCTTGTGACCTTATTAATGACTTGTGGGAACAAAGTACAATGTTTTAAACCACCAATATATAGTCAAACTTGTTTTAAACATGCTCTCTTTGGTGAAAACATGGTGTTCATTTAAAGCCCTGTACTTTATATTTTACATTAGTTATTTATGATAGTAACTTTTGAGAGTATATGCATTGGTTCGTTTAATAAAGGGTCCATTAAAGCAGAGTTGACTGTATATACATGTATGGTGGGTCTTTAATTACATTTTTGATTGTCGACACAATTATATCATGAACAGTAAAGACTTTTTTAACCTATGTTTGTGTTTATATATTAATGTGTATGCCTATTGTTTGATTTATCAAGCCATTAAAGTAATAATCAATCCATTAAAGAGTTTGTAGGTCATTAAAAGTAACAAGCCACCAATTAAACGAGTTAAATGGCCATTTAAGTAACATGCCAGGCATGAAGGAATTTTAATGGCAATTAAAGAAACATGCCAGGCATGAAAGAATTTTAATGGCAATTAAGGAAATGATCCATCCAATAATATAATAATGGCCATTTAATTTTTTCATAGGTGTACCCATTACTGTTTCATGGTCATCAAATCAAATTTAATGGTTACTTTAATGCCCACTATCAATTCGGTTTAATGGCTTTTAAAATGCATTAATATAAATTAAGTTTCCCAGAGAAGTAATGGTGCTATTAATTACTGTTACATCTAATAACCATTAACCGTTATTGGAGAGATATTAATGGCCATTATCTTGTTAATTAATGCCCATTAATATAAATGAATAAATTAAGGGTTTAATACAATTAATGGCCATTATTCCCAGGTTCATAGTGTTTATTTAATGGTTAAATTTTAACTTTTTTAATGGCAAAGCCATTACAATTGTACCATTAAATGTAACTATAAATAATAGACCTCATTTAATTGGTAATTTTCATGGCACATTAATGGGTATTCTCACAGTAGTGATTGTTAGACCTAAATACATGTTTATAACATAGATATTCATTTATATGTACAAAGTGATTATATTAATAACATTATTCTGGGCCTCAGTGGCCGATTGGTCTTAGTAGTTGAACTACTGTATCACTAGCAAGTCAACACTGAGGTTGTGAGTTCAATCCCACACGCGCCAGGTGCCTTCGACTCTAATCTTAATTGACTAGGATTGTCATTTTTCCTACCGATGGTCGGTGGTTCTCTCCGGGCACTCCGGCTTCCTCCACCAATAAAAACTTACCGCCACGAAATAGCACAATAGTGTTGAAAGTGATGTTAAACACCAATCAATCAATCAATATAAGTAATATTGTACTTAAAAATATCAACATAAAGTTTTTGCAGCATGTGATTACATTTGAAAAATAGTATTTATACAGTCCAATATTGGTCCAATTTTTAACTTTAGTCCAATATTTTTCCGTTTTGTCCACTTTTTTCATCTTGGTCATTTTTTTCTATAGTTTTATGAATAGATAGTTTCATTCTGTTTTTAACATGCTTCATCAACATAATTACGTCTCTATTATAGATCTTGCCTCCTATCCAGAAAGGTATGGTCTTCTGCAAATCTGTTGCTATGGTAGTATAATGTACGTGTATTTCCCTTGACGTGTATAAATAACTGTTTGATTTAATGCTCAATTTCAACTTCAATTGTCATTCCTGAAATAAAATAAAACAAATCACTGAACTGAACAGATACAATACGTTACTCGATTGTTGTTTACTTAACGTCCAGTAGCAATTATTTATTACATGTTTAGGAAGTGAACAAATTAACATAAGTATAATCGGTAGGTCCTGTGGTAGGCGTCCATCAGAATGAAATATCCTCAATTTGAATTGCCTTTGGAAATTGAGGGTATATTGGATAAAGCGTTTTAACTGGCCACCCATAGAGCCTTCAAAGAGTTGTTGCAAGGGTTCTCACACGAAGCATTGGATTTAACATCCGCATTCTGACCGGATGTTGCTACCTATTTAAACATCTTACACAACCAAACGCACGCCCATTTTACAAACGGTTTGAAGAAGATCAAAAGTGATACAGTACAACCTGTGACATTCTCTTAATTATGTCCACCCTCTTGTATGGTCAACATCAAATGGTGACCATTTATTGGGGTATTAAATCTTGAGATGTTGGCCTTTTATTGGGGTCATAAAACATAGATTAATGTTTAATCTAATTATGTCACCTGTTGAAATCAATCAGGGTTGAAATTGTCAGCTTGAATGTTTTAATAAAATTTACCTGTACGGGTAACTTATGTTTCTTTTAAAATTGACATTTTAGCCCATTGTTGAAATTGTAGAATAAAATGTTGTTTTAGTTATTTTATATTATATTTTGATTTTCCGTCTTTAAATTTATTTAAAAAATTTTTTTTTAATGTTTTGATTTTGGTTATTTTGATTTGTTTTAGTTTGTATTTTTAATTTGTTTTTATTCATTTTCGTATGTTTTTTTTTATTTGTTTTTTGTTTCTTTTTTTAAATTTCTTCTTGGTAAGAATCTTGTAAGATGTTGCAGTGGTGGAGAAATATGTGTACACATATGTGAATATAAATAATATCATTTTTTCAAACTTTTTAGTATATGCATGTTTATTTTTAAGTACATGTATAAATAAGATGTTGTCATTTTTCATATTAGGATTCTATAGTATTATTGATGTGTCATCAGATAGTAAAATTCTAATTACATTTATCACACTTGCCATCAAAGTAATTCTAAACATAGCATGGATAATAAATGTAATATTTAAAATTATTTTCTGAAGCAACAGCAATTTCTGAAAAGTTTCATAGAAAAAGAAAATGATGTTTGTTATAATTTAATGATAGATAATATTCATTAAACTATGTAATTTGAGTTTGATGGTAGATAAGATAAATACAGTCAGAACAATGATGCATTACACATTGTCATAATTAATTGTCACATCAACAATACAATAGTTTTCATTCACACAGATGCAATCGTAAAATCAAAATTATACTAAAACAAGATCTTCTTTGGCTGTTTAACTGGACGTCTTAGGGCTTGGTTAATCTTTGCTACTACCATGAGTTTCCAAGCTTGTGGCTGCTTTACCTCAGGGTAGAAGTGGCAGAAATACTGCATGAGGAACTGAACACGAACCGGGTCCAAAGGAATTTTGTTGTTCTTGAAGTCACCATGGTAGGAAAAGTAGCGTCTCAGTCAAGCTTGTGTATAAAGTTATGGGGAAATAATTTCCAACAAATGTTTTGCAAAATTACCCGTCCTGTAAATGAATGGAACTCCTGAACAAGGTCACATGCTGGTATCTGGAACTGTGATGGTATGTGTTGAAATTTATTGTCTATTACATTGTACATACTAGTTGACGGCACTAATCTAGTGGATGATGTTGGAAGTCTGCTCACAGTAGGTGATGGTATAGGAGTTTAATGCTGCAGGTGAGTTGGCTGGTTACGGAGAAAATAATGATGTTGGGATAAGTTGTCTGGGCTGTCTTGTTGGGGTAGCTGTCATGTTGCCCCATGGTCTGTTTGGAGTAAAACTCTGAGTTGCTGTTGTAGTTGGCTTATCTACTAGGCTCTGTACAAGTTGAATGAGTCATTCATTTTGTTGCTGAAGTTTGTTCATGGCAACATCTTGAGCTAAGGACCTACCGTTAAGGACATGCACCTGGGACTTCAGGTCTGTTATGGCTAAGAGTACGCTGTTACCAGTTAGCTGTTTGTCAAGTTGATATGAAACTGTAGCTACAATTGGTGATTGTGGAGTTGATGGTGTTGGTAATGGTGGCGTAGGTGGTTGTAGTTCAATAGGCTGAACTGGTGATGGTGTTGCTGATCTAAACTGATAAGGGTCATCTATAGCAGCAGTGTCATGTATTCCCTCACACCAACGGATAACTTTGGCATCTGGCTTTAATTTTGGCACTGTAACTCTTTTTCTTTTAGGAGGGGGTGGTACATCTGGTGATGAATCTTCACTTGATTTGGCTGGTGAAGATGGTGAAGATACTGGGTAAGCATCTTTTGGCAAAGCATCTATGTATATCTTAAGTTGCTTTCTCATTTCCAACCATTCACCAGTGGCAATCATTTCTGCTTCTGCTGATGAGTCACCCTAAATTCTGTTATAGTGGTCTCCAATTTTGATTCTGCCCTCAGCTAGGATCTTAGATCTTGGTACTATAAGTAGTTCAGTCTGGTCTTGGCTACCCCATTTGACTAAGACATGGCTATATTCTTTGGTGATAGTTCTGGCAGTGATTTTTGTAACGGTACTTAATTAATATATCAAAGTAAAATGCATTTATTTTTATTAGGGTGTCAGCTTGGCAAGGTTGGATTTTTATTTTGCTGGGTAAATGTGATTGGGTCAAAATGGATACTTCTAGATTTATATTTTAGAAATTAGCTAAGTCCTGTACATTATGAACTCGTCTGAAGATTAATTGGTCCATTCAATGTTTGAGACAATTGGCTTCATTTTGTGTACATGCCCACCAAGCTTGATAATTGATCCATGAAATAACATGAAAATTACTTACTGGTTAAAACAACATCCTTTAGAAAATTCAACATAGTTAAACTGATAAAAGGAGATTGCGATTTATTTTGTATGCATTTACATTTATCTAAATGCAGAAACGATCTTGATGATAACGATCTCTAATTCATTAAATTAAAACATGGGCAAAATGTAAATAATATTTTTTTAAGATACAGAAATAAATACACCTTATAGAACCTTAATAATTCAAAATCAAAAGTATGAGGGTCTGGATGGGGATTTCAGAATAGAGACTAATGGGCCAATACTAAGTGAAAAAAATGCTAAACAATTGAAGAATAGAGAAGAAAATAAAGGATAGAGATTTTTTTAAGGTGCTGATATCTAAAAAATAGAGAATATTTGTCAAAATTAAAAAAAGTACCAAGCAACAATGGATTAAAATTTAAAGAATACAGAACAGAAGAACCCCCCAAATAGACCCTCAGAATTTTGTGAAATCAGAAAGTTTTAGTCGGTTGTTATAAAAAACAATTTGAAAAAAATGCACAACTAATGAGAAAGATAATTGATGGTTATCTAAACACAGGACGTTATTTATGACTCTTTAATGTACATGTACAAATGTATAACCGTTAAGCAACTTTTTATCATGTAACAGGCATATATATATATATATATACAGATAAAATGGGAGTTAAATGTTAAAGAATTGGAGAATAAAGGGCAAAATAAAAACAAAAAGATGTTAAAATAGATGTACAAAATGTATAAGAATATTGTGACATGTTTAAAACCCCATCTGGAATGATTGACAAAGTTTTCTTTGACAACTTATGATTTGTTCATTCGACTATTTTGAGTGTGTGTGTGTCTATTTATTTGACAGCTCAAGATATGACACTTAAATCATATATATTACACCAGCGACTCTTTTCACAAAATATCTTACGATTAAAATTGATCGTAAGTTATACTGAAATGTGTATGACTTACGACTATTTTTACTCTTAAGATATTTTGTGAAAAGAGCCGCTGGATTCTAAAGAATATACATACTGGCGCCAAAAACCTTTTTTAAACATCCTTTTCGTCCATGTTTATTCTAGGTGGCACATTTATTGATATCCATTTAAGAGATTTAAAACTAGAGGCTCTCAAGAGCCTGTGTCGCTCACCTGTATTTACTGATGCTTTGGAAATCATGTAAAATAAGGTTAAAATCATAATTAATAGTATTAGATATTAAATATTATAATGATATCTAAGATAATAACAAAAAACTGCAAAATTTTTGTAAAAGTACTAACTCAGGGGCAGCAACCCAGCAACGGGTTGTCGGATTCGTCTAAAAATTTTCAGGGCAGATAAATCTAAATCTGATGAACATTTTTGCCACCTGTCAGATTTGCTCTAAATGCTTTAGTTTCAGAGATATAAACCAAAAACTGCATTTTACCCCTATGTTCTATTTTTAACCAAGTCGGCCATGATGGTTGGAAAGCGGGGTCATCGGACAAATTTTTTAAACTAGATACCCTTATAATGATTATGGCCAAGTATGGTTAAGTTTGTCTCAGTAGTTTCAGAGAAAAAGATTTCTGTAAAAGATTACAAAAATTTACAAAAAATTGTTAAAAATTGACTATTAAGGGCAATAACTCCTATAGGGGTCGACTGACAATTTTGGTCATGACAACTTATTTGTAGATCTTACTTTGCTGAACATTATTGCTGTTTACAGTTTATCTCTATCTATAATAATATTCAAGATAAAAACCAAAAACTGCAAAATGTCCTTAAAATTACCAATTCAGGGGCAGCAACCCAACAACAGGTTGTCAGATTTGTCTGAAAATGTCAGGGCAGATAGATCTTGACCTGATAATCAGTTTTCTCCTATGTCAGATTTACTCTAACTGCTTTGGTTTCAGAGATATAAGCCAAAATCTACATTTTACCCCTATGTTCTATTTTTAGCCATGGCGGCCATCTTCGTTAGTTGGCGGGGTCATCGGACACATATTTTAAACTATATGCCCTAAAAATGATTGTGGCCAAGTTTGGTTAAATTTGGCCCAGTGGTTTTAGAGGAGAAGATTTTTGTAAAAGCTAACGACGACGGAGGACGACGACGACGGAAGACGGACGACGACGACGACGACGGACGACGGACGACGGACGCCAAGTGATGAGAAAAGCTCACTTGGCTCTTTGGCCAGGTGAGCTAATAAGGAGTTGAAATTTCAGTTATAGTTTGAAAAAAAAAATTCTATTGAGTAGCGTAAATTTCTATCACAAAATGCCGAAGTTTAAATTAAGTCATCGCATAGACTAGAAATAGCGTCCCTGTACCGCAAAATTTGGAAAATTAGCGCCATAGTCCGCTATTTGTCAAATCAACATGGAATAGGTGTAAACTGGAGTACAGTACGCAATGTTATCTTGAAGTAGAAGTCGGGGGATCTTTTCGCCGAACCGAACAATTTCATCAAGTTTGAAAAGTGACTGACGGTGACATTTCAACAGTTAGATCAGCATTAGCCGAACAATGTACAATGACTGGAACTGATGTTCGGCGTGAACTTGTTAGTAAAGGGTCAGTTTTGTCAAAAACTACTGTTCAAAGGATAATTTACGAAGCCGGGTACACCGCCAGTGCACCGCGTTATTGTCAGATGATTAGCTAGACAAATAAAGTGAAACGGGTCACTTTCTGTCAATAGTTGATAACAGACAATGACAATTTCGCAGACATCATCTTTACAGATGAATGCACCGTCCAGCTACATGATAATAAAGTAGTAATTTACCGCCTGAGAGACCAAGTAGCACAACCAATTCCGCAACCTAAGCATGCATTCAAACTTTATGTTTGGGGAGGTATAAGTCGCAGTGGAACAACTCGTCTTTTAATTTTTGACGGCATACTACGATCAGATTTTTTTGTAGATAAAATACCGAAAATAACATAAAATGTATTTTATTCATTTGTGTCTCATATATACAAGTAAACCCATATACTCTGAATATTACTTTTTGCTTTGCCGTAAAGTCTATAATTATCGCATGTATACGAAGTTTTCCGTCTTTATCTCACAACTCAATTTTTAAATATAATATTTTTCTTTATAATTGCAATTATTTTTTTCTAAATTAATTTTCAAATAGATGATTTCTTTCGAGAATTTTTTTTTTGACTAATACGTAAACACATTCGTTTTTGCCTGCAGACAGACCTGAAAAGTAAAATAAGTTATAATTTTAAATCGATGTGATGATTTAGAAATTTATAATTATGATAACAGCTTATGCAGAATTCTGTCAAAACACATAAACTGTGACACCTTGAACATACATGTAATTAAGATTTACATGAGATGCCTCACCTGTTATTACTTTATGTATTAAATTAATCACCTGGTACAATTGGCACGTTCCTGTACGCTTGACTGGGGACATTTAATCCGATAATTACCTCGTTTGTTAATTAAACAGAAGGTGAACATATGTTCGACATGTAGGGACATCATGGTCACCATAAATTTTATGGCCGACATTCATAAGAGAATGTCACAGGTTGTACTGTATCATAATATTTCTTTTCCCAAGTCATCCTTGGTTGTAACTGTTATAAATTCTGCTTCAAACCCAACGTTTTATAGAATTATTCTTTTTTTACTTCCCACAGCAGTAGACGAATTAGAGTGAATGACAGGTAAATGAATGCTGGCAACAGTCAACATGCAGGACTACACTGATTAAAAAATATGTTAGTCTGCATACAATCATCATTTCATACAAACAGGTATGCACACACTCCTATTGAAATACAAACAAGTCCTAATAAGACAGTAATGGACAATCTTAAGAAAAAATACATGAAACAGGCTCAAAATCCAACTTAGAAAAACTGTTTAAAGTATATTTACCTAATATTTCATTTTTAATTGATTTAACTTCCTCTGCAGAAACAGTTTTAGCCAAAATGTCGTTCAGCTCATCGGTATACAGCCTTGTTGGTGTGTTGTGGTGATCAAATCGTTTTAAAAGGTCACTTAATATATTACTTAACTCAATAAAACGTTTATCTTCAAGATGAAATATTTGAGAGTGTTGTAGTTCATTTCTTGTAAGTCTAATGCGCTCAATATCATCTCCAATAGCTATATCTGTAGTCTGAATTCTTTGCCATGGACCGCCCCATCCATTAGAAGGAATATGTTTATTAAGTTTCCTGTGCTCACTGTATAAGTACGTTATATCACAATCTCTCCTTGGACGTAGATTTGGTTTATCTTGTTTTAAAAGGTCATATAAAACATCAGCAAGAATATTCAAAGCAATCATCCCCATCTTTGCAAAATTTATTTCCTCTTTTGTGAACTGAAAAGAAGATAAAAGTAAGGTATTGTAATGTAAAATAGGAAGAAGATAATATATAATAAAGTTTAACATAAGTTTTGGTGGAATCAATTATCAGTTAACTTGGTCAAGTACTCATAAAAATTTTTCCAAGAAAAAAATCCAACTTAAAAGAAAAATCAATGATGATGGTACCTAGCATCTAAAAGTAATTTTGTGCAACTATTTGCTCAACTGGATTTTTTTTTTTCGCACAACCAAAATCTGGGAATGCTGTTCAAAACTTTATGAGGAACAATTTGCATAGAAATATTTCAGCAATATTTTTTCCTTGTACCATAAGCAGATGAAAAAGTGTGTGTTGTGTTTAATCTTTTTTTAAAATTTTTATCAATGTAAATGAAACAAAGTCAACTAAATATATTCGTGTTTAAAAGATTTCAACCATACTGTTTAAACTGGATCACAAATGTATTATTTACCATACATTGGAAGAATCCGGTCTTTTACATGGTAAATTCATGATAAGACATTTGTTTCAAATAACTAATGCATAGCTGTATGATGACTATGAAAGGAGTAAGGTCTGTACAGACCACATTTGACCCTGAACATTGGGTTCATTGTTTTATGTTCATGATGTTGATTAAAATAAAATGTTAAGCGTTGACAGTCTCTAATTTGCCATAGAGATTTCTGTTTAATGTGACCAAATTGTTTTGATTTCTATCAAATTGAGGTGCCGGTATATGAAACAAAGATAGCAGGATTCGACAAACTATATATTCGAGTCAAATATGTTTATTGTAATAACAAATAAACATTATGTTCATAAAACTTTTTTGTTGACCAATGCGCTCTACGTTTACATTCCTAAAAACCAATGCAATGAAAATATGCCTGTTAACATACACCTTATCGCTAATTGTCCGCCATTACTGGACACCACAAAGGTTGCCGTAAAATTTTAATGTCATAATATAATCTATCTGACGCCACAAAGGAAAAGTAATTGTTGTATGACGTCAATAATTCAAGCGGGGAAGATTACCGGGTCAACCGGACAGATTTCCAAATAGCGATAAGGTGTACTGAATTTTGTGGAAAATGTAATTTTGTACTATTTGTGACACCAAGAAATAATCTAAATGACCTATTTCATATCGTAATTGTTTAAGCTATGATTTATTGTCATATTGGTTAATACATCCTTATTTGAAATTTGAGCCACAAATAGGAGTCATATAGAATAGTCTCTTTTGAAACATACTGATTGCATTTAATGATTTTTTTTTATTCTAAAATGCGTAATATATAATATATAAATAACACATAGCTGACAGGGTGATAGAGCAGATTTTTACCCCGAGAAAACATTGTCAACCGATGCGAGCTCAGCCATATGTTAGTTAATTCATTATACTGAATGTTCTATCATTTTTGTCTTTTGATTGAAAGCACTTAACTTTGACATCAAGTACATAACGTTACCATGGTTACAGTTATTAGAAAAACAACAAAAGTGAACCAAGATATTTTTTTTTTATTTTGACAGTCTATGAAAAGTTGTGAGGCCATAACGTAGAACTGCATCATATTTATTTTTTAAGTATTGATGTAAAATAAAAGTCATTCCTATATTTTTAAATTAAAACATCATTAGAATTTGATTGCTTGCTTGGTTGGTTGATAAAATGCTTGCATTATATCAACATTATCAATGGACAAGTTCTTCTTATCGATCCGGTGGTTGGTTGTTGGGTGTAAATGTTGATTGGTTCCTTAGTTTATTTATTTATGAATTGATTTATTGACAGTTTGCTTAATGTAAAAAAAAGTATTGTCCAAATCATTGATTGTTTGTGTGACGTCAAGTGACGAATATTTAATGAAATTGCTTTACTCAGAGAAACAGGTTAAATATCCCCCCTTCTAAAAAAAAAAAGAGAAACAAAACGGATACTACTTCCACAATTGACGACTCTCCTGGAACATGCGAAAAAGAAAATATGATGGAATTCTAAGATTTAAATAGACATGTAAAACAACAAAAACAAAAAGTTTAAGTCCAAGGTCAAAATTTGTTTACAAGAAAACCAAATTTATACACAACAAATTGATTCAACATAAATTTCGGGGAATGCTATAGAAAAAGGTTGATTCAAGGATATTTTTGAGGAAGGTGTCAATACTTCAAAGTTCCAATAGGAATTTATAAAATTCAAGGATATTTTAGAATGGAAAATGTAGAAGGGTGATAAATCCTTAAAAGTTCCAAGAAGTACCATGATTTAGGTACAAATAAACATGATGCACTGACATGAAAACCTTCCATTTAATGGGAGCCAGCCTCTACCTTTTTTGTATATTCCTTGGAACCAAACCCTGTGTATTTTTTTTTTAAATAATGAATTGGTTCTTTATTTGGAGGATTTTTTTTTATCATTCTGTGGGTAAAGAATAAAAGTAAAGTATTTGTTACTGGACATCAAAGAAACAATCAATCAATCAATCAATATACAATATGCGCTTCTGTACATTATGAAAATGTCAATCGATTAATTACTAATATTCATTCATATAAGCAAACAAACCAAGCCAAATCGATGAATGAATGCAATTTCCGTCAAATATGACATGAAGCAAAATGTCAATCAATCAATTAAGCTATCTATCAACAATCCACACCAACCAATCTAAATGAAGAAGTAACTGATGTTATGCAAATATTTTTTCAACCAACCAATCAACCAACTTAGTGATAGAAGAGGTGGAAAGACTTCACTAGAACGTTTTACTTAAATCTACTGGAGGTTATGTTCAAAAGCTATTGTTATGCGGAGTAAATCAATAAATAAATTAACACTTTTGAGATGATCCCTTATTTAAATATCTCTGATGTAGACTCTTTACTCTCAGTTGTCCATTGTAAACATTTTTCTATCATGTCTATTACTATTCGAAGCTGTTTGTGTATATTTATCGACTCGATGAAAACTACATCCAATGCTGAACACATACTTCTGACTCCACATATCAATACTAGTTCAGTTAAGCTGTCTGTGTATGATTATCAACCCGAAAAAAGATTGAGTCCAATTCTGCACACACACTACTCACTTCATGTGAATATTAGCCGTTTGTGTATGTTTATCCATCCAACTGATAAAAGTTTACATACTACTCATTAAACATATTACATATATTAATACATAATTTTGTTTTCAGTAAAGCTGGTTCTTTTTTTGTTTTCTTTATATTTACTAAAAAAAAGTATAACAAAAATACCGAACTCCAGGGTAAATTAAAAAAGAGGGGAATTCCTTACAACTTGACGATTCAAACGTTACACTTTCTCAACCAACTGAACGAACGTAAGACTGAACATCTCCCAATTCATTCATTTTCATTTTGGGAACTGAATATGGCATGAAAATACATTGTGGTGTTACATACCCCTGCCGAACTGGCTGTAACTATTGCCTCTTCATTGACATTTGAAAATACTCTCTCACCAGCTTGGACCCGGACACGTACCTTCAAATATAAAAGCATGTCATTCATTATCAATGGAAAATATTGGTAACATCATGAAAATGTGTCAATGAGGGTGGCACCTATCATTTTCTTTCATTCTATTTTGATAAAAATAGGTTGAATAATCAACCAATTCAAGCATGCAATTATGTCTGAATTCTTTGGCTGTATACAAGTATTAGTAAAATGGGTAAATTGAAAAAAGCTACATTTTTCTTCAGAGATGTGCTACCTTTATAATAAAAAGTCCTCTGCTTAAGTTTCAAACAAGCCCGTCATTGAAATTTTAAACCCCAAACTCCTTATAGATTTTAAATGAAAAGGTAAGTCAATTTATAAGTAAAGATAATGATTGGAGTTTGGTTCATTTTGGCCGCACATTTTACGTTAAAAAGAGGAAATTTTTTTTTACATTCAGGACGAAGAAAAAAGACGCAAAGTCAAAGCAATAGCTTACATTGTCAGATTAGGTAAAAATGCTCAGTTTGTATTATCTTGAATTTACATGAATAGTCTGAATAGTTTGCATTTCAACAGCAAGAAATATTTCATATTATCCATTATCAATCTTAACATGCTAAAAAAAGTTGCTTGATTTGACGAATGTATAATATTCTGTCAGAAATTAGTTTTGAAGTAATAAAAGTAAAAATTAATCTATCTTATATCCTCATTACGTAATACTTACTGCTAGTTATACATATATCAACATGGGGATAACTTCTATGCTATAAAATAGTAGCTTGTTACCTTGGTGGATTGACCGGTAGTTTGGATTTGACTGGAGCTTTCTCTGTAAGGATTAGATCTTGGAACATTTTCAGATCTCCATGAACTTTGAGACAACTAAAATAAAAGTTACCACAATCAGATGATACCTCGTACCTTATATATAATCAAAACAGCACTCAAATCATTATGGAAACATATTACAACTTACATGTTATTTCATTGATTGCATAGATAGAGAATCTTGTATTTCTACAAGCAGATTATAGTTAAGTTTTTACAGATAGTTTCTGCAATATTCAGCTTATCTCATTACAATTCTTTGTTTGGTATTTAGACCATCTGAACTAAGAAAAGAAGGTTAAGGACATCATTGCTGCCTGATTCTGAATTAAAATATATGTCTTGCTTCTATTTTTTGGAGGAAACAATTTGAACTGTTAGCTTTTCCTAACTATCATGACTATTTTAATACACATATATAATACTTCGGTAAATACAAAGTTGATGAGTATCATATTTGAAAAGGTATCAAACGGTATAGCAATTTTCATGGAACTCTAATTGACACTTTCTTAACAAAAATATGTTTCATTTACATAATATATGGCTGTAATGTGTAAGAATATATGTTTATATCAAACTGGATCACGATAAACAATGAATTTAAAAGTGAACAATTGTTTAAATCAACAGCTATTAAGTTGTAAATTTCAGGAAGCTGTTAACGTTAGTATCCATGAAAAGCTAGGAAAATGCTCATTGGATGGATTGACGGAAGGACTTAAATAATTTAACCAATGTACCATCTTATTACAAATTTTCCTTGTAAAACTCTTCAAACATGAATAACTCTTTTACTTACATCAAATGTTCTATGTTGTTGATCTGACCATTCACCAGTGAACTCATGTACAATTTTACATGTCTCACAATAATATTTTGTATCCTGATCTTTACTAAAGTCAAATGATCCTGTTACAGACTCTGGTCTTGTTTGGCCACATTCCCACTTTTTCTCAAATTTCACATTGGACATCTTAAATCTTGTACTTATTATCTTGATTATTTCCTCTGTAAAAAAGTCAGCAATGTATTTGTACAAACCTCCTTTGATTTGTTCCCCAAATTGCAAAACCTGAATTTGAATAGCATTTGGACATTTTATTATGAGTAATTTTCTTAATTTTGTTGTCACCTGTAACTCAAATACAGCAGTTCCACTGAAAAGAGCAATTTGCTTTTTACCCTGTTTAGTAGCATCAACTTCTGCAACTCTATACTTCCTGCTTAGTGCAGCAATCAAATGATTAATAAGATGTGGTGGTAGAAACCTAAACTTGAAACACAACCAGGTGGATTTCTTACAGGTATCGTTGGTCACATTAAACATCTCATATATGTCATATTCTGGTTTTGATTTGACCATGCAAGGTACATAGTAGCAAGGTTTTTCATCAGCACCGTCAATGGTTACATATATGATAATATCAAACTTCTCCATAAAATTCAGGATAGCATCTTTATGTTTATCATGTCTATACAAAATGTTTTTTTCATTTTTAAAGATATCTTCTAAAACTTCACTATGTAATATTCCTCTAAGATTTAAATCCTTCAATTTGTCCTTCATTCTATGCCTGCTTATATCTGATTGAAATTTCTCTGCTGTTACTATGCATTTAAAGGCATCAGATAACCACTGGGTATCTAAAACGATAAATTCGGGAAGATCCTCAAAATAAACTAAAGCTCTGATTTCGTGGTGAAATTTCAAAAACAACCTTAGTTCTTCAGCACTCATTGGCATTGGTGTTTTAAGAGAGATTTGCTCAAGTTCCTTTAAGGTTATAATTGGAATTGATGACCCTGTCTTCCTTTCTTGAAGACATTTTTCCAGTTGAATAAATTTCAATGGATATTCTCTATTCCACGATTTCATTCCTCTGGCTAAATTTAAGATGTCCTGTTTCATTTTCTGGAATACACCATCATCATCCTTGTTATTTGAAATAAAGTATTGAGATCGTATATGTCCACAGGCATCATCTGAAACATCTTTCACATAGCTTTTAATCTGCTTCTGGCATTCAATCTCTATCTGTAATAAAAAAAAATGTCTTTAATACGTCTGACACAGGAAACTGAAAAAAACATGTCAATACTAATTTATCATTGTTAAACAGTGTTATAATGAGGTAACTGTCATATATATATATTTGAATTTTCACGGGAAGAAAACAGTCAGTATTCTTGGATATTAACCTGTTTATTTCAAAAGTAATACCTACAGAAATATAAAATAAATCGCATAACTGGTGAGGTCTTCTACAAAATGTCCTTCATTGCCCTCAAAAGAACTTGATTATAATACCAACTATAAATGAGACGTTGACAGATGGTGAAAATGATCATGTTGCAAAAAAACAAACACTCAAACACAAAATTGTATGACTTATATCCTACCTCCATGAAATAAAGCTTGTTCTCCTGCAGATAATGCTAAAAGCAATAACCTGTTTTGTGTAAATTACATTACATAAGTTGCTTGATAATTGAAATAGGTATTGACAATTCACTTGGAAACTCAATTTATTGCCCATGACACTTACCAAGGAGGAAATCATGGATAATCATAGGTATGTTAGGGAGCTACCATTTGATTTTTATGGGGGGGTGGGGGCTAGGATGAAATTTGAAAAAAATAGGCAGGACAGGAGTTTTGAGTAAAAAAAAGTCAGGATGAGACACTTACAAAAAAAAAAAGTTAGGCTGACAATTCAGGTAAAAAAAAAAGTCAGGATAAACTTAAAAAAAAAAGGCAGGACCGAATAGAGTGAAAAATAAAAAGGCAGGACAGAGATTACAACTAAAATAAAAATGAAGGACAAAATTCGTCAGCCTAGCCCCCCCCCCCTTCCATAAAAATCAAATGGTAGCTCCCTTATATGTTCGTATTTAAATTTTATAAGTGTCCTTATACATGTTACACACAGAGTTATATTGTTGGGTTTTCCAAGTCCTCCATGAAACCGCTTTCTGAATTATGAACATCAATTTTATCTGCAATCGAAGCCTGGCTTCAAAATTATTGTGAAACTACCTATTCTAAAGACAGCGTGAATCAGAACATTCCAAAGATCTGTTAAAGTACATATAACCTAAGACTATTTCATCTTGGAATAGTACATGTATTAAATCATTTGACTTTTCTACCCAGTAAACAAGCATTTCACGTTCAAAACTAAAAGACAAATTGAAAGATTTGGGCTGCTTTGTTTCATTAAAAAGAATGGCAAACATAGATACAAGTGTCTTGTCTTAGGAAGGGATAAATTGTGCTTTGTAAAAAAATCAATGATTCAAACAAAAAATTCTCTGAAACTGAAATCAAAATGCTTGATTTCTAGATTGACGACATATTTGCTACGTTTGATGGACATGTTTTTCAACATATAATTGGCATTCCCATGGGAACCAACTGAGCTCCTTTTCTCGCCAACTTGTTCCTTAATTCATACGAGGCGGAATTCATACCCGAGCTTCTCAGGAAGAATGAAAAAAGCCAGAATTATCCTTTAACCTCATTTTCCACTATATAGATCGATTATGTCCTCTCAACAAGAGTTTAATGATGAGGGTCTCTCAAGGATTTCTCTATATACAATTTCTCTTTATCAATTATGTTTCCCCAAAAATACACAAAAATGGGTAAAATAGGTTAGGGGTAGGGTTAAGCACTCACAACCATGTTTAACTTCGCCACATTCTTTAAGTGCCTGTCCCAAGTCAGGGGTTGTCATTGCTTATGTCTGTCATATTTGTTTTTCATAAATTGTTTTGTTATAAATTAGTTTTCTCAATGGAATTGTTTCATATTTTTCATGTCAGGGCCTTTTATAGTCAACAATACCGTATTGGTTTTTCTTATTGTTGGAGGACGTACGGTCGCCTATAATTGCTTACATCCACTTTATTTGAAGTTTGGTGGATAGTTGACTCATTGGTAATCATACCACATCTCTTTATTTTTATCAAAATGGATTTCAAGGACAATAACTCATATACAATTGACTGACGATTTTGGAAATGCTGAATAATTTGAAGTTCTAGTCCACCCCAACCTTTATGTCTTTAAGGGGTACGTTTAAGCTACAATTAAGACAAACAAATCAAATACGATTTTTTGTTTGTTTCAAACATGCAAAAACGGAATATAGAAATAAACTGCAGTTTCAGTTTGGTTCAATTTCGGTAAAATAAGCAACAAAAAAAATCCACATTATTGCAAGTCTGCAGTTCAACCTCATTTAAATCCGTATTCATGTGACCTTTTGTTCATGAAAGACTAAGCTGGAGATGGGTTACACATGTGGTACGTTAAATGAAAAGAATGTTAACTTTGGAAAAAAGGAAAATATCAAAAATATTGAACTCCAATGAAAATTTAAAACGGAAAGTCCCTTATCAAATGGCAAAATAAAAAGCCCACACAACAAACGAATGGAAAAAAACTGTCATATTCCTGACTTGGTACAGGAGTTTCCTTATGTAGACAATGGTGGATTAAACATAGTTTTATAGCTAGTTAAACCTCTCACTTGTATGACAGTCGCATAAAATTCCATTACCGGTATATTGACAACAACGTGTGAACGAAACAAACAAACATAATAGGAAAACATATCAAAAATAGGGGTACAGCAGTCAACATTGTGTTATAATATTAATCACTATAAAAACAAACAAATATGTCAACAAAAGAAAAAAAAATGGCATATAGACTAAGCACATAAGCAAAAATGAAAAACAAGAATACAAAAAAATTACTATAGCACAATAACACTATGCCGGGATGTATAAGTACCGAGCCACGAGAGAAGGATATTATCAATAAATGGGGAATGTGTCAATGGGACACAGATGATGCCCCCGCTTGCATATCATATAAAGTTATACAGGGACATAACTAAAGAACGGTAAAAGTTGCGCTACACAAATTTGTACTTGATCTGAGTTTTGTGGTAATAAGTATTGTGTATAAGTTTTATAACATTTATTTGAGGCAAACTTAAGTTAGAGAACATGAACCAAAAATTCAGCAATTTTCCCATTTGTAAAGGAGCATAACTCTAGAACAGTTGAAGTGACACAACCAAAATTCAAACTTGATCTGTATTTTGTGGTAATAAGCATTGTGTATAAATTTCATAACATTTTGTTGAGGCAAACTCAAGTTAGAGAACGGAAACAAAAAATTTAGCAACTTTTCCATTTATAAAGGGACATAATTCTAGAACCGGTAAAGTGATACAAAATTCAAACTTGATCTGTGTTTTGTGGTAATAAGCATTGTGCATAAGTTTCATATCATTTGGTTGAGGAAAACTAAAGTAAGAGAACGGAAACAAAAAATTTAGCAACTTTTCCATTTATAAAGGGGCATAACTCTAGATCCGTTTAAGTGATGCCACCAAAATTCAAACTTGATCTGTGTTTTGTTTTAATAAGTATTGTGTATAAGTTTCATATCATTTGGTTGAGGCAAACTAAAGTCAGAAAACGGAAACCAACTATGGGACGTACGGACGGACTGACGGACGGTCGATATACGTACAGACGAACAAGGGTAAAACTTAATGCCCCCTCCACTAAGGCGGGGGCATAAAAATGGACAAAAAAAGACAAATGGTGGATGACATTGGAAAGTGAATCAAGGGAGCCAGCGAGAAGATCCACTTTGTTGACTGAAGAAACCAAAAAAAAAAATATCCACCTATACAGGTAAAACTTTGTTCTTTGTTTGACCTTTTTAACTTTGTTGATTCGCGCGTCACTGATGAGTCTATTGTAGACAAAAAGTGTTTCTGGTGTACCAATTTTAATCTTGGTATCAATGGTGAGTTTTTTGTCCCTTTTTGTTTTCTTTATTAATACAATTATGTTAGTAAGCACACAACATATAAAAATAAGAAGATGTGGTATGATTGCAAATGAATCAACTATCCAACAAAATTCAAAAGAAGTGGATGTAAGCAATGATAGACTATAAGACTATCCAAAAGCTATTTACCTTTCTTATGAATCGTAGGAGTTAAAGTTTTGAATTACAAAATGTATGACAAAAAGTAAAATCACAAAAATACTGACCTCCAAGGAAAATTGTTAATTAAACTGTATGCAGTCAAATTATGAAAAGAAAATTAGGGTTAGAGGGCAAAACTTTTAATTGCATTATACATTGATAAAACCAGAAGATTAGGAATATCTGACAAAATGTCAAAAAGAAGACTAGGCAACATCCTTAATTTATATATTTATCTGTATAATCAAAAGTTATTCTTGTATGGAAACAAAATGGATCCATAAATAAACAAAATTCCTAAGTAAGAAAAGAGTGAATTTTAAGTACAAAATTTTTTTTTTATATATTTCTAATTCCTGAAATAAACCCAAATGTTATAATTAAGACAATATTTGTAAATGTAATTGTTGACCTTTGACCCCAATATGCATATTGTGACCACTTTTCAGGCTTAAAGCATCATTATTCTGAAAGATCACTTATTTGTCTTTTTTTATGGATAAATAATCAAGACTTGTGTTCGATGGGTGCAGTTTTTAATTAATTTGTTTATATGTCTACCGTTAGTAACAAGTGTGCAGATCCTGAGATTTCATGCTTTCCTTACTAACGATGAAAGATAGGTTGAAAGCATTTAAGATCAAGGTTTCATTACAAATATCATGCAACCCTATCATTATCTAGATCCAGTAAAATATAGACAGCCAATTCTATTATGTATGTTTTATTGGATATCAATTGAATTTCAATTTCAATGAATTTACCCCTCCTATTGATGGGGTCATATTGAGTTCAAAGTTCAGCCACCATGGTAATCTAAGTCTTGTTAATTCCTGTATACTTAACTCTGTTTTTACAGTTATAATGATTTCTTTCTGCCTTCACTTGATATGGGTAAATTTTCTACAAAAAGAAATGTCTGTACCAAGTCAGAATTATGACAGTTGTTTTCCATTAGTTTAATGTGTTTAAGTTTTTGATTTTGACATTTGATAAGGGACTTTCAAATTTGAAATTGAGTTCTGTTTTTTTGTTATTTTACTTTTTTTATATTGTATATATTTGTACAGTGTCTTTACACACCTTTTCTCCCTTTGAAAGCCTGACTTTGTCTTTATGTGAACCAACAAGAATCACTGGTGGATCGAGAATATTTGTTTCCTGTGTCTCAGTACTTTCATCTATTTTAGCAGTAAAACTTTCAGGTTTATTTTGCTGATCGTCAAGTCTACAGTAGCAATGTATTGAATTCATCCACAACTGAAACATTTCTACAAAATAATGATTGCAGCATGTATATCAATGTTAATGTTTCAATCTATCTTAAATGCATCCTATATTGGCCGCTGCATCAATTTCAATTGTTCTAAAATAAGATTAACACTTTCAACTGTGAGCTACTGCTCATAAATGATATCCTGCTATAAATAAGAATATGTGGTATGAGTACCAATGAGACAACTCTCCATCCAATTCACAATGTGTACAAAGTAAAAAATTATAGGTCAAAGTACGGCCTTCAACATGGAGCGTTGGCTTACACCGAACAGCAAGCTATAAATTGCCCCAAAATGACTATATATAGTGTAAACAATTCAAACAGGAAAACCAACGGTCTAATCTATATAAAAAAGGAATAAAATGCTCCGCTGGGCGCAGCTTGATACGACCGCAGAGGTCGAACCCTGAACAGTTGGGGCAAGTATAGACACAACATTCAAGCTTGATACAGCACTGAATTTGGATTGTGATTAAATATTTGACACAGCATAGGTTTCTGACACAGAATGAATGTGGTCTAAGAACTTAAAAAATTTTAATTTACCTATTCAAACCATATCATTATTATTTGCTTTCATATATAAATCAGAAATAACCAATTTAAAATGGAAAATTTTAAAGAAAAAAAAAGGAAAAAAAGGAACAAAAAAATCACCCCCCCCCCCCCCCCCCAATTTTTTAAACCCACTTATGATTCATCACCCACAAACTCTATCCCAGCCTTTCCTTTGTGGCATGGTACCTTGCAGTACAATTTCAGACAGATCAATACACTTGAACACAAGTTATATTATGGAAACTAGAAAAATGCTTGTTTTTTGGCCCCAAAAAATTCCCAAATGTTTAGGGCAATTACCCCCAAACTCAAACCCATCTTTCCCTTTGTGATATGGAACCTTGTAGTACAATTTCATAAAGATCCATACACTTACACACAAGTTATTGTCCTGAAACTAGAAAATGCTTGTTTTTTGCCACTTTTTTGCCTCTAATTCCTAAAATTTTAAAGCAATTACCCCGAAAATCAATCCCAGCCTTCCCTTTGTGGTATGGTACCTTGCAGTACAATTTCAGAGAGATCCATACACTTGAACACAAGTTATTGTCTGGAAACTAAAAAAATGCTTATTTTCGGCCCCTTTTTCCTAAACGTTTAAGGCAATTACCCCCAAACTCAATTCCAGCTTTTCCTTTGTGATATGAAACCTTGTAGTACAATTTCAGAAAGATCCATACAATTACACACAAGTTATTGTCCTGAAACTAGAAAAATGCTTGTTTTTTGCCCCTTTTTGGCCTCTAATTCCTAAAATTTTGAGGCAATTACCCCCAAAATCAATCCCAGCCTTCCCTTTGTGGTATGGTACCTTACAGTACAATTTCAGAGAGATCCATACACTTGAACACAAATTATTGTCTGGAAACTAAAAAAATGCTTATTTTCAGCCCTTTTTTGGCCCCTTATTCCTAAACGTTTCGGGCAATTACCCCCAAAATCAATCCCAGCATTCCCTTTTTGATATGGAACTTTGTGGTACATTGTCAGAGAGATCCATACACTAACACACAAGTTATGTCTGGAAGTTACAAAAATGCTTATTTTTGGCCCCTTTTTGGCCCCTTATTCCTTTACAGTTAGTACCATAACCCCCAAAATCAGTCCCAACCTTCCTTTTGTAGTATTAAACCTTATGGTAAAATTTCATAGAGATCCATACACTTAAACTAAAGTTAGAGTGCCAAAACCAATGTGTCTTCGGAAGACAACAATGACGACGCCAACGTCATACCAATATACGACCGCAAAAATTTTGCGGTCGTATAAAAACAAGTGAAATTGCGAGCTACTGCTCACTGATGATACCCCCGCCCAAATATTTCGGTAAACAGGAAGTTGTTGAGTGATGAATCTGAAAACGCATCACACGGTATAGCTGACTTATATAAAACCTGAAACCAAATTTCAGAAATCTATGTATTGTATTTCCCGAGAATGACAAAAATTTTCATCTTGGCTATCATGTGTAAAATGATACAAGTGTTCGGTAAACAGGAAGTTGTTGAGTGATGAATCTGAAAACACATCACACGGTATAGCTGACTTATATAAACCCTGAAACCAAATTTCAGAAATCCTTGTAATGTAGTTCCTGAGAAAGATGCGACGAACGGACGGACGGATGGACTGACGGATGGACGGACGGACTGAGCTAAAACAGTATACCCCCACTTTTTTAAAGCGGGGGTATAACGAGAAACACTTATGAACCACACCAACAAACGACAACTGCGGAACAACAGGCTCCTGACTTAGGACAGGTGCATACAAATGTATAAGCCACTTTATAGTCTATCATGTGTAAAGTTAAAAAGCAATAAATATGAAAAGACATCACATATTTTAGCATGCTCATGTAAATGTTGATTGAAATTTTCAGAGGGCTATGAATTGTATTTTCTGAGATAAATGAGACAAACATTTCTTGCATTGTCATTATATATAATTATGTGTAAGAAAACCTGTATTAAGGTATGTGTTATACAGGAAGTTTAAAATCAACAAATTGGGAAATACCTCACACAAAATACCGTATAGCGGTTTATTTTCGCGGGTGTAAAATTTTGCGATTTAGAGGCAACAAAGTATACGAAAAAATTTTGCGGCTTTTATTTTGGTGGATTCTTAAATCCCAATTAAATATTTTGGGGAATACTGAAATTGTTGCAGATAAAAAGCTGTAAAAATTGAGAAGCAAGTGTCTATATTTTATGGTTAATTTTTTTACCAGAATGACGTCTTATTTATTGATTATATTCTGATACAGTTACAGCTGATTGCATTGAGTGTGTAGGTAAAGGTAATATCTTTGGTTAGCTTGCTTGCTAGCTGAACCGTGGAGTCATTATTAGGTTAGGTAAACTACCCTCCTTTAGGAGTAGACTAGTCCGACAGATAACCAATCTATCTGTCTGTAGGACTAGGCTACTTCGAAAGGAGGGTAGTATACCTTACCTAATACTGACTTCACAGTTCAGCTAGCAAGCAAGCTAACCAAAGATATTACCTTTACCTACACACTCAATGCAAGTGGCAGTAATCAATAGAATACAGGTAACTTAGATATTTGTCACAGGTATACACACTTCTTTAAATTTTACGGTTGATAAGTTACGAAATTGACCCGACCTTTGATATACTTACTAATTAGGTTATAAAATTATCAAGAGTGACTTACAACTCTTATGCAATTTGACACTAATTAATAAGGGTAATTACCTGATAGAGTACCTAACACTCTTAATCTATTTGACACTAATTGATAAGGGTATACACACCTGACAGCCATTTTATAAAATACATGTATGTTCAATGCCCTTTGGCATTTATGTTGTTAAAACTAACCTATACCGCATAAATTTTCGCGGAATTTATTTTTGAGATTTTCATTTATCCGCCAAAATAAGCAAAAAAAAAACCTTGTGAAAATAACCCGCTATACGGTAGTGTTTTCACATGAAGCCTGATTACAATACCAGGAAGCTCTGACTTGTATTTCCCGGAAAAAAAAAGTTGACGAGCAAAGATTGTGAATAAAATGCTCCGCTGGGGCGCAGCTTGATACGACCGCAGAGGTCGAACCCTGAACAGTTGGGGCAAGTATGGACACAACATTCAAGCTTGATACAGCACTGAATTTGGATTGTAATTAAACAGTTGACACAGCATAGGTTTCTGACACAGAATGAATGTGGTCTAAGAACTTAAAAATTTTTAATTTATCTATTCAAACCATATCATTATTATTTGCTTTTATATATAAATCAGAAATAACCAATTTAAAATGGAAAATTTTAAAGAAAAAAAAGGAAACAACCCCCCACCCCCCCCCCCCCCCCCCAATTTTTTGAACCCCCTTATGATTCATCACCCCCAAACTCAATCCCAGCCTTCCCTTTGTGGTATGGTACTTTGCAGTACACATACATGTATTGGACTGTGAAACTCAGATCAGGAGTTTGGGAAATTTTGGTCAGGAGATTAGGACTCAGATCAGGAGGTTTTTAATCGACATAAATTCTGTCGTAAATGTAACCGTGTGCTGTAGAAATTGTCTGTTAAAGTGTGTTTTCTTCAACTTTCCATCCGAATGTATTATGTTTATAGTACCCTTGTACTTATAAATTTTCTCTATCTTTTTAAACTTTGAACTTGTTCAATCTAACATTCTTCTTTATTAGTATGTTTAAATTTTTTAGGTCATATCTTTTTGACCATTATTCATTGCAATCTGAACATTTGCTTATCTATCTGCAAGTAGATCTTATTTTTATATCTATATGCAAGTAGATTTTTTTTTTTATCTTTATTATGCAAGTAGATTTTTAATGCATGATAAGTAACACATTCCAACTGTGATCATGGGTCATAGTTATTATATAAATTTCAATTTAAGCCTTGAAAGGAAGTTAAGACCCCTCAAATAATTTTCAAATTATTATTTTTTTATTTGTCCTAAGACATTTAAAATCATTTAATTACCATCCTTTTATGATTATTTGTTCAATTTATATTTTATTTATATTCTTTTAAAAATTTACATTATTTAAAGGAAAATAACTTAAAACTGGATAAATCAAGGGAAGTAACCCAACATTCATTTTAAATAGAAAGTTTTATTACACAACGGCAATTAGCCTGAGGTAAAAATCGTTGATTACCAGTATGTTTGACACCCAAGGTGACAAGTGAAGCCATATAATTATGCATGTTAATTGATTTACAGATAAAATATAACTTCAGGTAATGTCAGTTACACCAGATATGTTGGGCTGAAATTTTTCATTCATGAAATATTTCATACACAGGATTTTTTTGTCTTCAACGGGAGGAGACCCCTGAAAACGGGATTATTGTACTCACGTTGGGAGGTTCATATGTATGAGTACAATTTCTGAGAGATCCATACACTTGAACACAAGTTATTGTCTT